CCAATAAAGTAATTAACTCATGACACTGTCTTCCAGCCTGTCATTTGAGCTGCCAAGAGGTTTCAGAAAGCAGCTTCGTGTTCATCCTGGCCTTAGTCAGCACTCGTCATTGGCTGCAGCACCATCACGAGAAAGTCATTTTTCAAATAAATGCAGGTCTTTCAGTGCCTCCCAGGATCCTGTTTCTCCACCATCTCACTCTGACACCTTATGCCAGATTTTCTCCTTTCTATAATGGATGGGCTAATGGTGACAGAGCGCTTTCACTCATCTGAGATTGCATTACATATATTTTAATTTTATTTACCCATTTAGTCATCCACTGAGGTTTGGATGTGCAGCATTGCCTGCCTTTTTATAACTGTGTAAAGGGAAATGGGAAATGCAGCTGTGGGGGTCTTTCATGGTGTAGTAGTATTTAGGAAGATGAATTTCTGTGTCTCAAGACAGCAAAATTAGATCAAGCTAAAATCTGTTGGGATGTTTTATCTTATTTTTCCTTAATGTCACCCAAGTGGATGTATTTGCAGTGTTGTCAAGAGGCTTGGATGAAGTCCTGCACCAAACGTTTGGTACAGGGGCTGCTTTGGACAAATACTTTAACACAAGAAGGTAGAATGCAGCTGACATTTTGTCACCCAACAGTTCAGTCTGCATGTCTTTATCAACAGACACTGCTTCAGTTCACTTCTTTGTCTTTCCTCCTCTGAACCAATCTGTCTCAGGGGCGATGTTGTTTGACTATCTCTGTGTGCACAAGTTAATGCGACTGATGTGTGAGTCATGATGCAAGTGTCAATTGCTTAAGTAGTCCAGATATGAGTCTCAAGGGTTTATTGGATTGTCTTTTTACAAGCTGTTTTGTTGACTAAAAGCTTTTTGCTTTGCTTACTTTGTTTTTTAATAGGCTTCATTCATTAAATTATATAAGCAGAATAAAAACACACCTTAATATATTGGTTTGTTTGCACCACCACCAAACCAAACGCTTTGAATGTCAGTAACAGGATGAAACAAGCGTCTACATTCATACTACAGCCATTTTCACACACGACCTCCGTACTGTGTCAGCAGAATCAGGCTCAGACTTTGTCCAGAGTTGCCCTTTCACACATGTAGCACACAACAGGAGATAGTCTGTCAGAGGTTGCTGGAAATACTCAATTTGGTTAATGGGAGGGGGGAGTGCCCAGGTAGAACTGCCAGGAGGCTGGACATGACACAGTCATGTAGCTGGTTTGTAATCATAGACAACCGAGTCTCTTGCCGTACCTTAAATTTGTCTGACAAGTCTGGCGCCGGTTCTTAATGACAGAAGTTCCTGAATCACATTACGTCTTCAGATAGATATTTTCATTGGTGTCTTCATTGTAAATCGGGGCTTGAGTGAGGCTGTACTTAAGCACAGCAGTGCTTTGAGCTAGCATGCTCATAGCGACAGTGCCAACAGCCTAATATTTAGCAGGCGAGCGTATTGTTCGTCATTTTAGTTTAGTGCATTAGCAAGCCCACGCAGCTAACTAGTGGCTGAGGCTAGTGGCAATGCTAATATTTATTTGTAGATGATCATAAACTAAAATTTCATAAAAGTATATCTAGAAGTAATACTTCAGTTCCATAGTTGTGGGCTGACTGTCAAATAAGTTTTTGTAGAATGTGTTTTGAGTGATTTCAGCCAAGAGGTATGGCCTACCTTTTCTCTGAGTCTCCCTGTCTGTCAGTCTGTGTGTTGGCTGATTGGGGAGCAGCTATTTTTGTATCTGTTCTGCTTTTATTAATATCTCTCTGCTGGGAGACAAACTAATGAGTCCTAGCTCTCTGACTGCTACATCACAACTTTTGTGCGTCACATCAGACACTTTGTGAGCTAAATCACAGTGGGCGCTCTACATCACATGCTGTGAACTGCATTCACCAGTAGGTTATTTTAGAGCGGAGTGGGATATTACTTTGGTGCTTCTTTTCTAGAGAGAGAGAGTGCACAGAGGACAACAGACTGGCAGAGATATGTTATTTAGGACACTCTGGACAGGTCGCCAGGCTGACATACAGTGACAGCCAAACATTCACACCGACAGACAATTTAGAGTCATAAATCAACCTAATCTGTATGTCTTTGGACTAGGCCACATATTTCTGTTTGAACCTGACCCCAGCCTGAGAGGGTGGTGGTCGAACTTGATCCAAACCCAATATTGTATTTTATGTTGAACCCAACTTGAGCCAGTTGTGTTTGTGCGATGTTTTATTACTATGACCCTCGTGCGTCTAATATTATGGATAGCATAACTGCTATCTGCTTGTTAAGTGTGATGTAACGTTCCACTTCCGGGTCCAAACTTCCCCAGACCCACTTGGCGGAGCATGTCACCCTCTACACAGAAACACCTTTTTTTAGAAGGCATGAAGGATGAGAGTAACAAAAAAGGTCACAAGTGATTAAACCAAACATAAACATAAACTGCAGCAAAAATTAGACTTATAGAGTCTCCTGTGTCCCAAAATGGTACATGTCCTGTTAGGCTTTCTAACATTTTTGGGCCAAGTCAAATTTTATTTCTATATCGCAAATCATTTGACTTAATCTGTAAAATGTGTACAGCATTTAACACCCTCTGTGTTTAGACCCCTGACACTTAAAGCACAGAGATGGGAAGAGATGGAGCCAGGCACAGATAAAACCACACAGGCCTCATGTTGGAGACGGACAATCTGTATAGAAATGTCGTAAATAAGAAGAACTGTCAATCTTCTAAATTTTAATCTTTTCTCTTGATTGCCTGCTGAGATTGCCTTTCACCCTGCAACAGATAAAGCTTATTGAATTGAACTGAGATAATATCCCATCAGCAGCACGAAGGGGTCGCTGTGAAGGTTGATGAGTCTCCAGCCATTATCCACCTGCAGTATTAATTATTCAACTCTATTCTGCCTCGATGAAGAATGTTTAATAACCTTTTAATTCATTTTATTCAATTAAATGATATTTATAAAATCTATGTATTTTAATATACATCACTTTTAAGGTGCATTTTCAATATGATGCCTGGCCTTTATTTGTTTTAATTATTATATTATTATTATTGTTCTCTGTTGGTATAAACTACCCAGCATCACAGTGTTCACTGTTACCTCCTGTGGCTTTATAGAGGCCTCTTCCCATGAGCGTACACGTCCTGATCCTCCCTCGTATGTGATCGGTCAATGCACCGCCTTGGCCAGATGATGCCATGGATTGTTATGGTAAAAGTTGAACCAGATGCACAGGGTTGCATCGTTTTGCCGGAACACTGCCATCATGGGCAACTTGGGGGTTCAGTGTCTTGCCCAAGGACACTTCAACACATGTACTGCAGGCACTGAGATTTGAACCTCCAACCTTCTGTTTGGGAGACAACTGCTCTACCCACTGCACCACAGTTTTCTTCTTAAATCAGTTTTCTTGCAACCTAATAGTTGTACATGAAAATATTTCCTGCATCAGCAGTACAGTGTACTGAACAGATTGTTTCAGAGATACAGTAAGAAACATAATCTTTAAACATCTTTGGTGACACGCCTCAGCATCACCATTTTGTAACATTAGTCAACAGTCACACGTGTAACAAATCCATTAGACAGCAGTTTCTCAGGACCCTAAACTATAGAGACAAGACTGCAGCACTGCAAGACACATCTACATTTCCACTGTCGATGGAAAACAGCAAATCCACAGCTGTTCTCTGGGGCCAAAGCCCATTGTAGGAAATAAGGAAGGACTAAGGAGGGAAAGCGGCTTTGCTAAAAAATGACACTATATCAGACACATCTCAAACCCATGGAGAGCACTGAACATCAAAGTGATTCACAGGAATGTTTTGTTGTAATAGCAATATACAGTATGTGAAGTTCTCTAATTAGCAGAGAATATGTTGCTCTACTGGCTAAATCATGGCTACCTTGACCTTTGGTTTGTACTGACGGGAGTAGTAGTGATGAATGACAGCGCTGCTTCGGATTAACACAGGAAGTGACAGATCATATGGAACAAGTCAGGGAACAGAAGCAGTAACCCAAATATGCCAGTGTCCTGTCCCACATGGACACGATAGAAATAGCACTGTTCTAGGTCACTCTTTAATAACTGCAGAACTGACTTTTTGGTTCTGTGCGTCAAGTCTCCTAAAGCCTTTTTCTTTCTATTAAGGTGATTGAAACTATCTGTGGAGACAGAGAGAGAGTTTGCTCAGTGGTTGTAACACAGGAACAGAGACACTGAGGACAGGAAAAACAGGAATTTGACTAATTGAATCTTTAACTTACTCATGATAAATTTGCAAGTTTTTAATTAGAAAACCTCCAGAACAACAAACTGCTTTATTATGAAAATGCCTGCATTGCCATTTTACAAAAAATAGTGTCACATTGTTCTGTTTTCGATGCGTTGTGCGTGTTTCTGTGTGTCCTCAGTGTTAAAGGAAAACAATTTTAATGTCCCATACTGAAAACAAGGTCAGCCACCTCCTGCTTCATTTTGAACCTACTCTCCGTCCACACACACACAGGCACATGCACACAGGACGCCTCGCAGCCAGCAGACATACATTGTCCAATAAAGTGTGTGCTGTGCATTGACTTTGTGGCCTATGTTGCAGTAAGATGTATGTGTCTGCTCTGAGGAGGAACCGAGTGCTTTTGCCCTTGGACTAGTTAAAGTGCTCGTCCTTCTTCTGACACTGATGACATCAGAGGAGGACAAACACATACCACAACTGAACTGTTTACATATACCTAACTATAAAAAAACAAATAGTGAAAATCAGATGATCAAATTGCTATTCACAAGCAAACATCCACTAGAAGTTGCACAGGAAGTCATGCAGCTGCTCAGTGGTCCTTTAGAAACCCAGAGAGTCATAATCATTAAAAAATAGAATTGTTTTCTTTTACACATAAAATACTGCAGTATTTCCACGTGTGTAGCAGCTAAACTCAGGATTTTTCTGCCTGTTTTCCTACAGTGGATACAGAGGGCAGAAAGTTGAAGGGAGGCATCCAGAGGAGCACAGAGACGGGTCTGGCTGTAGAGATGCCTAGTCGGACCATTCGCCAGGCCAGCCACGAGTCCATAGAGGACAGCATGAACAGCTACGGCTCCGAGGGCAAGTGAGTAACAAATCCTGCTGCAGTGCAACGTAAGCACAACCCTGACGATTCATTCAGTTTAGCTGAATCCAGCACAGTCTGGCACATTTTGATTCTATGAAATTGTTGAATTACTGAACACATTGTGGGTTCACTCGAGGTACACGTGGATATGTGGGAGTTTCTCTGTGTGTTCCATTCAGTCTTTTCAGCGAAATTTCAGAAACTGTGAATTAACTTTAGTGAAATTTGGTTGGAATTAGATTTTGGTGTGAACCTGAAAGCAGGACTTAAAGGTTATCAGGGAACTGGAAGGACAGGGACGTGTGACTTGGCAGAGATATGTGGCCTGTCTAGTTAGAACGAAATCATCTTTTTTACAGTTGACTTTGTGTTTGTGAGGCTTGTATTGTTTTTGCTTCAGTTAGTTGCTTTTCTGCCTCTTTCCATGCACATCTGGGATAATTGAAATTTGACTATTTATGCTTTCAGCTATGAAATTATGACAGATTGTGACTTGATTTAAAACCCTCTAGGGCAGGTTTGCAGGGACACAAAATCAGTTTACCTCAGAATTAAAGTGACAGGAGTGAGGTCTTCAGGTGTAACGGCAATCTAGTGGATTGTTTAGCATCAGTGGAGGTTTTAATCTACTTTGAAACTGCCTTCAGGCTTTCCTGTTTCCATTTTATTTCCATAGCAGGAGACATAACTGCCCCTGCATGTGTTTCTATCATCCATCTAACAGAAACAGTCAGCTGGGGCTTTGCTGATGGTGCACAGCGCCTATGACATCAGCACTACTAATGTAGTATGACTGAGCGCACACACACACACACACACACACTCACAGTGTTTTCATTCCTTGTGGGGACTTTACATTAACTTACATTCATTTCCTCTAAACCTATCCCAACCTTAACCTCACGCTAACCTTAAACCATGTTGCCACCCTAAAATTCAGTGAAGGCCGAGTCCCCACAATGTGTATTAATGGGTTTCAGTCCCCATAATGTAAGTAATACAAAGGCACCCACACACACACACACACACACACGCATGCAGATCAGTGCCAACGTAGCTACCAGCGCTGTTGCATAACAAGACAAGGTACAAGGTCGACAGGGAGGAAGGCAGACTGATGGGGGCTGGGAGGGTTTAAAGACAGAGAAGAGAGGGAAACAAGAAGTAGTAGAGATGGGGAGAGGGCGATTACATCACTGAATGTCTTTTCATGCATATTAATATTCCATTTATATCTTCAATATACAGATATTCTGTTCACAGGGAAACATGGTTTAGTTTGTATTTAAAAAACAAATATCTGTTTTAATGCTGGGTTAGTCGAGGAGGTGTCACAGTCTCGCTGTATGAAAAGAAAAAGACAAGTTATTGATTGTCTCATGTAAAGGCCAGACACTCAAAGAGAAGCCTTAATCAGTTCAATCCAGAATGTTAATGTACACGAAAACAAACTCAGAGAAATAATGAGGAAGTATCGGCAAGGCCAATACAAATAGATGGAGCCAGTGAAACAGAGCTCAGCTTATTCAAACCTCCCAGTGTTTGCTCCTCTTCCTCTTTATCCAGGCGAGCTAAGCTAAAAACAACACAGCGCAATCACATGATGGTCCTCATCTCAACTGCACCCGCAGCCTTGTCTTTTAAAAAACATTTATACAGTATATGCTCCAAAAGAAACATACTATGGCCTGGATAAGAAAAACATAGTTAACATATTTAGTATCTGCCAAGTTGATTCTGACTGTATCAGCAAAACATATTTTATTAGTTTTCCTACAATAATCACTCACAGCAACTAAGACATGAGCTGTGGTTATGTTCAGGAAATCACAGGTTAAGGAAAGAGTTAAATAGTTGACTATATAATAGAATAGTTAAATATTTAAAAGATTCATGTTTGTTGTTTTTATCAAATTTAAATTTGAAGGCTAGAAAATGCATAAGTAATTCTATTGTTATGTTATTGTTTTTTGTAGGATCCTAATTCTTTCAAACAGAGGAGCTAAAGGTTAAGCTAAATCTGTGTATGTTCTAAGCCACAGTCATTAAACCTGGCTGCACACCAGCATCACTGAAATCCTCAGCAGCAAATGGCTGCTTGTCTTCCTGTCCGTCAGTGTTTCTGTGTTTCCGTCGGCTGCTTGGCTCAGAGCGCTGACTGAAAAGCTCCGGCGTATGCACAGCCATGAACAAGCACTTTGTTAGTGCACACCATCCAAACACAGCTTACTGATTTTTAAAGAGTCCATGTCTGCTCATTTTGCTCATTACCAGCCATTTAATGTTTAATCTTGGGTACCTCTAGATTAGCTTGGGCGCTACCTGAAACTGAGTTTTGAGCAGAGGAAACACATCTTGATGGGGGAACAACAAACACTGGCAAATAAGTTACATTTTCAACAATGACAATACCTCAAATCGTACCTGACATAGTCAAGCCAGAATATGAAAGTGGACAGCACAACGAACTGCAGCTGCATTAGTTAATCTGAATTTCTCCTCCATAGATAGGTAAACAATGTACGTATATGTGCCAGTGAAAAGAGATGTGTAACACTCTAAACAAAGCAGGTGGTTGAGAAACCCCTTATTTTAACTGGCATAATGCAGACATAGTAACTTCTCCAGCCTTACAACACTTCTCTCTAACGTTACAGAAACAGGCAGTGTGTTTTTTTTTTACTTATTGTTAAGTCCCACTGAGTAGTGGAGACATCGCTCCCTTTCAAGTATCTCCAAGGTCGGTAAATCCAAGCGGTGGTCACTGCGTCTGGTAGGCTAAACTACCTGTCCAGCAGAAAACGAGCAACTTTGGCGTCATTCTGGAAACATTTGCCCCTCATCAAGGATTTCCATTTGGAAATGTGACATGACATTGGTCCAGTTTCCAACATGACAGTAACCACCTGTTCAATCGCTGTAACTAATTCACATAGTGATTGAACGGTGTTGCCTGCCTGAGCTCTTGTGCATCAGGAAATATCACAAGATTAAAAGACCTTAAATATTTGTAACAGACTGATGTGTGTCATCAGCCTGCAGCACACGGTTGACACTGTTTTATTTCTGTGAAACAGCAGCGTAATCCCCAGGTGTGCCTCACACATCAGCCTTATAATCTAAAGCTCAGGATTTTATCACCCAGTAATACCCAGTCGGCTAATGTAACTTGACCTTTTGCATGTCAGCACTCTCTGTGTACACACACACACACACAGAGAAATACCACAAACCAAGCACAAAGGACTGCATCATTAGTTTCTCTCTAATGTTCTGTTCACTGACTTGTTGCAGCACAAATTGTACAGTGCATTAAGTGCACATGTGCACCGGAATGCACACCTACAACACACCAAATGGAACTATGTCAGACATGAAAAATGCAAAACAGCACAAACAATCAGCAGTAGAAACAAGTATTAAATATTAAAAATGACCTGCGGTAAGTTCATTTCCTGATGCCTGCGTTAATGACCTGAGCTACGTGCTTGTGTGTGTTGATTGTACCGGAGGAAACTGCCTTCTACATTATTTTGCAATGACCACTGAGTGTTCGGCTGCTCATTCTGAAGTTCATATTGAATGTCAGCCTGTGTGCCTTTATGGGACTTTGTTGGAATAAACTAATAAATATTTAACATGGGTTTCCTTTCATTTAACATTAAACACAAAGCTGTCAGGTAACTTAAATTGTGGTGGTTGTGGCAAAAACAATAATACACCTGTTTCCCTGAATGTGCAGCTTAAATATTTGAGCGGTGATGAATAATGATGGAGTGGCTATAAACTAGAATTAAATATAAATGTAGAGACAAGGGAGAAGAAAGATGTTAAAAAGATGTAGAATAAGAAAAGGGAAGAATGAAGAAGAGGTTTCTGGTGCACACCCACACAGGTGTTTCAGTTATTCTAGCTGATTAGACTTCTGCTCGCATTAAAGACTGAGGCAGCTGTGGTTGTGCCCAAACAAACAAGGACACTCAACCACAGTTTCTACACATTCTGATAAGCTGAGCCAGCAGTGGAACTACCTGAGTGAAGAGATGAAATCTGCTTTCTAATATTTAGGTAGAATATCAGTCACACAGAACAACAACAATCTACCAGGAGTGGGGTTTGAACCCACGTGGGCTCACGGCCCGTTGGATCTTAAGTCCAACGCCTTAACCACTCGGCCATCCTGGTCTAGATTTGATGGCTGTGCCTTGCAGATTGCAAATAAATAAGAAATGATGTTAGGGTGGCTTTGTCCTTTAACTGCTCGAACTGATCGAAGACACACCCACAGTAGTAGTATATCTGGCAGTCTGCCATCAAAGCACTCTGAGCTGATTCCTTTGCATCCACACACAAACACACACTAAACAAGGACACGAGGGGTCAACAGCCAAAGCCAACAGTCTGAGTTTAGTTTCAGGGAGCCAAATTGATTTGGGGGTTTAACTGTGCCGAAACGGGGGTGATAAATGGCTTCCAGTTATCAGTTCTTTTCTGTATTCACATTCTTTTCCTTCTGATTCCTCTAGACTCTGTTATTATCTTCCAGTCTGACTCACTTTCTGTCTCCGACAAAAGTACAATGCCTGATTACATTTAACCATCTGTCTCTTTGTTTGCCTCTTCCTCCCTTTCTGCAGCCTGAACTACAGCGGCATGTGTCTGGCATCTGATGCCCAGTTCAGCGATTTCCTGGATGGAATGGGACCTGCCCAGTTTGTTGGACGACAGACTCTGGCAACAACATCGATGGGTGAGACAGAACATGCCCTTAGAGCCACAGGAGTCTGTCAGCGGTTCATCTATAGTCTGTTGCTTTTCTTTAACAATGCAAAACTAAAAATGTTCCCATCTGCAAGTTGAGAAAAGAAATTACAATTTCAGATGAAAGCTTGCAATTGTATTATGTGAATTACCTCTGAATCAGGCAACACCAAAGTCTCCCCATGAACAATGGGCAGGAAAACTGAAAAAAAAGAGCTTTTTTCTTCATAAAATTGAACCAAACAGCTGCTGCAGTTATTTCACACTGGAAAAAAAGTGCCTCATAAATCCAAACTGTGTCCTACTGCAGTGGTTTTCTCATCACACCCTGCATTTATTCATCTCCAGGTGGTATGCATTGGATACAGTGCATGCAGCCTGTCCTCCACAGCAGTGATCTACTTTAAATGGGTCATCTTCCTCACTGGCAGTCAGTGTCCTTGCCCCAGCTACACTGACACTGACTGGTCCAGTTCCACTTCAAACCTGGTGTCCAGTCCAGTATTATATGGCAGCAGACTGAGAATAACTTGGGCATCATCTGTACTGTCACTTTTATTTGTTATCTTGGGTGATTCTATGTGAAGCTGTTATCCAGAAGTAACCTCCAAGAGACAGGAATGAAAACATTTTCATTTCCCAGATCACATGTGGCACAAAAGCTGAACCTGCAGTAGATAGATTCAGACTGCTAAGGGGCAGAAAGACACACAGGGCTACTTTACATCAATAAGACACACAGTGACTTTAGCATTTATTTGGTTTACCTGGTGAATTTAAGTCAAATATTCACTTTCTTTTTGTCTCTAATATGGTCCCCAGCAACTGTATCAGAAAGTGTCTGATTCTTAGTTCGCAGTTTCTTTCCCCGTTGCCTGAAAGAAGGTCAATGAGAGGACTGAGACTGAATCACACAGTAAAGATGCCACAAAACAAAAACTACCATCTAACCTGATTCAGTGTGTAGCAGAGAAATGCTACTGTATTTAAGACTCATTCATTGTTTTTGTTTCATTTATTTAAAGGAGCTACAGTAGGTAGACACGCACTTCTCTAATGAGCTAGACAATACTGAGATATACAACTTGTCTCAAACGACTCAAGCGATAAACATTATACAGAACCTGTGTTTAATGAGCAACCGGTCACTTATTAAATACTGTAAATGAATGTAATATTTTAGTTTTGAATTAACCTCATTCAACTTTGGTCCTTGTCAATACTTGGTCTGGGACCCAGTCTGGACTCCAGTTAGTCCAGTCTACTAACTGATATGGATCATATAAGGTGATTATGAACCACAACAGTGCCTGTGCATTGTAGCACCTTCTCTACCCAGCTACACTATCTGTAAAGTGTGTTATTACTTTACTGGTTTATGATGACACCTACTGTGATGTTTGCTTTATTATATTATATTTTGCATCGCTGTGTATTGATGTCATTTAGGTTACCTGAGGCAAACTGCCTTGATGTAAAAGTCTAAATTTTGGGTAACTTGGAATGATACACACATTTACCTCCTCCATCCTCACTGTTTAAATGCACCTGTGTTTTCAATCATCCAGGCGATGTAGAGATTGGTCTGATGGAGAGGAACGGAGGTCTGGAGGTGGAGGTCGTCCAGGCCAGAGGACTCACTATGAAACCGGGTTCAAAGGGACCTCCAGGTCAGTCTCTACCACTCCAGTCTGTCACTCAAATGATCAAAAGAAGCTAAGTGTGTTTTCTACAGGATGTTATTCTGCTTGACCACTGTTTAAACAACTGTCACGTCTTAGTTCCCACAGCACACGAATGCCTCATAAGCCAGCAAACAGCATCAGGTACAGACATGCAACAACCTGCAGCTGACACTTTAAACCTAAGGGGATATATTTTCCAAAATGCACAGGGCACCTGACGATATCAAAGATGCATGAGTGAAGAAGAGGAAATTATTTTATTTTTCTTGTTCCAGAGAAAATGGAATAATTTTACCAATGAAAGTCTGTGGTGTCCTGTGGGACACTGCACCTCCAAACTACAAGGCAGTAACACAGATTTTTCACCATTCTCACACTGTGTAAGCTAAAATGCGGTGTTAAATTGTTCTTTAAAAAGTCTTCTTCTTCAGGGGTTTGTGGATGTGGTTTGGTCAGATTTAACTGGAACTGAACAAACAACCAACCAGCTGCGATCAAATGATGCACATGTTGTTAAATCCCAGTCGGTGCAACGATGTTTTTGTCATCACCACGTGTTTCACAGAGCCTAATCAACTTCAAACTGGCGTGAAGAGCACTAAGAAAAACAGTGATGAGATCACATGAACTAATCAGAACTGCTGCCCAGTTACTTTACAGTGGGTACGGAAAGTATTCAGACCCCCTTAAATGTTTCACTCTTTGTTGTATTGCAGCCATATGCTAAAATCATTCAAGTTCATTTTTTTCCTCATTAATGTACACACAGCACCTCATATTGACAGAAAAACACAGAATGTTTGACATTTTTGCAGATTTATTAAAAAAGAAAAACTGAAATATCACATGGTCATAAGTATTCAGACCCTTTGCTCAGTATTTAGTAGAAGCACCCTTTTGAGCTAATACAGCCATGAGTCTTTTTGGGAATGATGCAACAAGTTTTTCACACCTGCATTTGGGGATCCTCTGCCATTCCTCCTTGCAGATCCTCTCCAGTTCTGTCAGGTTGGATGGTAAACGTGGGTGGACAGCCATTTTCAGGTCTCTCCAGAGATGCTCAATTGGGTTTAAATCAGGGCTCTGGCTGGGCCATTCAAGAACAGTCACAGAGTTGTTGTGAAGCCACTCCTTCGTTATTTTAGCTGTGTGCTTAGGGTCATTGTCTTGTTGGAAGGTGAACCTTCGGCCCAGTCTGAGGTCCTGAGCACTCTGGAGAAGGTTTTCGTCCAGGATATCCCTGTACTTGGCCGCATTCACCCTTCCCTCGATTGCAACCAGTCGTCCTGCCCCTGCAGCTGAAAAACACCCCCATAGCATGATGCTGCCACCACCATGCTGCACTGTTGGGACTGTATTGGACAGGTGATGAACAGTGCCTGGTTTTCTCCACACATACCACTTAGAATTAAGGCCAAAAAGTTCTATCTTGGTCTCATCAGACCAGAGAATCTTATTTATCACCATCTTGGAGTCCTTCAGGTGTTTTTTAGCAAACTCCAGGC